TCTTACCACTGTACCATCCCGGAGACTTCCCACTCGTAGGTGACTTTACAGTTTTATCGTTCTCTCTGCCTCTTCTTTCTCTTCGTCGCAAATGGCCTTCACTGAAAGCGTAACAACGGACCTTTGAATGACAATCAGAAACAGATTGAAGCCACTTCATCGACGGCCTCAAAAGACTTGCCTGCCTCGTAGTTTGTATATTTTCTTTCACTCTCATTCGCTCGCATATTGATTTTCTTTTTGTTTTTCTTTCTTTTTGTAATTTATGAATACACGCACATACGTGCACACACATAGATAGATAGATGGATGTGTGCATGTGTGTTTAGTTATGATCGTATACGTAAGTTTTTCAACCTGTCTCTCTCTCTCTCTCTATCTATCTATCTATCTATCTATCTATCTATCTATCTCTCTTCTCTCTCTCTCTCTCTCTCTCTCTCTCTCTCTCTCTTTCTCTTTCTGTGTGTGTGTTTGTGTGTGGGTGGGTGTATATATATATTTGTGTCCGTGCGTGCGTGCGTGCGTGCGTCGCCCTCTGGAGCCAGAAAGGAGGAGCCTCTATGATTATAGCCTCCCAATGATGGGCGATGTCCCGTCCTCTTTGTCCTCCATCCCTTCTCTGCTTCTTCTGTATTCTCTCTCGTTCTCTTTGATTCTCGTTCATTTCTATTGCATTGCATTATCATAGTTTGATCCCGGATGCCTTGTACTTTGCATTTTATCTGGTTAACATTGTTTCGCAGGCAGATCTAGCCTGTGATTGGCTAATTCTCTCAAGATATTAACATTGCAAATCTATGTTGATAGTGGTGCAGCAAGTGGTAAAAAATCATGTTGCAACCCATTACGGATGCCACACTAATAAGGGAATAATGATATGTTATTGTTAAACAGTTAAAATGTGTCCATAGCATCATCAACAATATGTCGACCCCGGTACTATAATTCAACTCTTATTTTCCGTTTTAAAGATGGAATACGAAACGGAAAAGGGACAAGGAAGGAAGGAAGGGGGGCTAGGGGGAGGTAGGAATCGAAAGAGGGGAAAGGGGAGGGAAGAGAGAAGCAAAAGGAGGATGAGCTATGAGATACGGACATGTGCGGATAAAATAGCAGTCAGAATTAGACACAGAAAGAAACGTTATCGGTGCTATGTCGCAAGAAATATATTGATCAGGCAAGCGTTGATACTGAAAACAACGCTCAGGTCTAATATGTTTTATTCATGTAGACATCGTTTTTTTTTTTTTTTTTTTTTTTTTTTTTTTTTTTTTTTTTTTTTTTTTTTTTTTGCAGTTATTGAATTGAAGAGGTTGGCCAGGGATTGCTAATTGCTCTCTCTCTCTCTCTCTCTCTCTCTCTCTCTCTCTCTCTCTCTCTCTCTCTCTCTCTCTCCTCTCTCCTTCTCTCTCTCCTTCTCTCTCTCTCTCTCTCTCTCTCTCTCTCTCTCTCTCTCTCTCCTTCTCTCTCTCCTTCTCTCTCTCCTTCTCTCTCTCCTTCTCTCTCTCTCTCTCTCTCTCTCTCTCCTTTTTTTTCTCTCTCTCTCTCTCTCTCTCTCTCCTCTCTCCTTCTCTCTCTCCTTCTCTCTCTCCTTCTCTCTCTCTCTCTCTCTCTCTCTCTCTCTCTCTCTCTCTCTCTCTCTCCTCTCTCCTTCTCTCTCTCTCTCTCTCTCCTCTCTCCTTCTCTCTCTCCTTCTCTCTCTCCTTCTCTCTCTCTCTCTCTCTCTCTCTCTCTCTCTCCTCTCTCTCTCTCTCTCTCTCTCTCCTCTCTCCTTCTCTCTCTCCTTCTCTCTCTCCTTCTCTCTCTCTCTCTCTCTCTCTCTCTCTCTCCTCTCTCTCTCTCTCTCTCTCTCTCTCTCCTCTCTCCTTCTCTCTCTCTCTCTCTCTCTCCTCTCTCCTTCTCTCTCTCCTTCTCTCTCTCTCTCTCTCTCTCTCTCTCCTCTCTCCTCTCTCCTTCTCTCTCTCCTTCTCTCTCTCCTTCTCTCTCTCTCTCTCTCCTCTCTCCTCTCTCCTTCTCTCTCTCCTTCTCTCTCTCCTTCTCTCTCTCCTCTCTCTCTCTCTCTCTCTCTCTCTCTCTCTCTCTCTCTCTCTCTCTCTCTCTCCCTCTCCTCTCTCTCTCTCTCTCTCTCTCTCTCTCTCTCTTTCTCTCTCTCTCTCTCTCTCTCTCTCTCTCTCCCTCTCCTCTCCTCTCTCTCTCTCTCTCTCTCTCTCTCTCTCTCTCTCTCTCTCTCTCTCTCTCTCCTCTCTCTCTGTCTCTCTCTCTCTCTCTCTCTCTCTCTCTCTCTCTCTCTCTCTCTCTCTTTCTTTCTTTCTCTCTTTCTCTCTCTCTCCATCTCTCTCTCCCTCTCTCTCTCTCTCTCTCTCTCTCTCTCTCTCTCTCTCTCTCTCTCTCTCTCTCTCTCTCTCCCTCTCTCTCTCTCTCTCTCTCTCTCTCTCTCTCTCCCTCTCTCTCTCTCTCTCTCTCTCTCTCTCTCTCTCTCTCTCTAGTTGATAGCATGAGTAGATATCTAAAACCTAACTATATTTTATATTGCCTTTTGGTCTCGCCAGCTTGCTTCTTCCCTCCCGGTGCGCATGACTTGAATTTCTTTTTCATCTCTCATCATCATTTTATTCTTTGAAGTTGATATTTGTAGGTAACAGAATTGCAAAATAATACTGAAATGTATATATGAAGTGTAATAATTTTGCTACAATTGCGATAATGTCTTTAAATGATCAAACCCCAGGAGTTTCCTATCATGGAGTATGTAACCAAGCTATAGTATATCTACATCATATTAATGAAATGCGTATGTAAATGTTATGCTATGTGTTGTTATATTCTGTATGATTGATTTAATCTTACAAATTGTCACATTCATATAATCTCTCTCTCACACATATATATATAAGCCTCTCCTCACGTCCGACCACACACAAGACTCTGGGTGTTAAGGTTGGCTCGGTCGATGAACACTTAGCTTATCCTTATATAATTCTCATTTTGTGTTTTAAAGACTTAATCTCGACTCGTTTGATTGTGAATTTAAATTATTTTTTTGTATCTTACGTTCAGTTGTCAGTTGTAGGTATTCATCGTCTTATTGTTTTATCTTATGTACTTTTCTACTGTTCTTAGCTATACCAGATTTTCAATAATAAAACAATCAAGACACCTTGTTTGTCTGCCTTGCACCCCAAGCCCACCATTCACTGTGCTCTTGCAGGGCCCATTTCTTGCAAGGCGTGAAAAAAGGCCTCTTGAGGTATATCCATGATATAACGATAACTATGGTCTTTCAATTGCCAAGTAATAGTTCAGCAAACGCCCTCCAATTCGTTTTTTAATTACTAATGTTTTCCTACTCTTCGTGGACGGTAATTAAGCGTGCCGCTAGAGTGGGCGCGGCATGGAGGATCTCAAATGGAGTTCGCGTCCACGTCTGGGTCGCCCCGCCCGTGCTCTTTAAGGCCAAGGAAAATCCACTCAAGTCACGTCTGATGAACGTCAACAAGACCCTTGTCTGCCTCGAACGTGCCGCGGCAATGCCCAAAGAGCTCGACCTCCCATGCTTACTTGTGCCCTCTCTGCCACACATGCTCTGGGCCGCCGACACCTGCAGCCCCGGTTGTTTCGCATACAGTGTCGCTTGTTACACCTGTAGAAACTAGAGATTGTTCTCCTGAGTTTTGTCATTTTTCTGATTCGACTCCCGACTCAGTGCTCTTCTCGCTGCTTCGTTTGCTTCCACACCATATTCTACCCTGTTGAACTCCCCGTTACAAACACTTCTGTTCTTTTCATGAACGTCCATATGTTACTAATGTGTAGAATACAGTTCCAACTTTACCAATTTTATTCCCAGATAGTATTCTCTTATATTACATAACTTTTTGTGTTTGTGGTTCTTCTTTTCTTTTGTTGTGACCGAGCGATACATGACGCATATATACATATATGCATGTATAATAAACCACAGCGTGCATATCTGACGCATAAAGAATACGCCAAACTGCTTTGCTGTTTTTTTCCGCCTAGTCTCTGTGGCTTCCGTTGTTTGTTTTCTGATTTTTTTCTTTGTATAATCTTTGTATAAAAGACGTTGTCTGTGAGCGATGTGACACAATAAGTTATCAAGACAAGTCGTCTGCCGTCCTGCACGCACACACACACACGCGCGCGCGCGTGTGTGTGTATTAATGATGGTAAAATCGAGAGTCGTAGCCAGTTACGGGCCTTATTGGGCGAAAAAAAAGGAACAGAAATTTTCGGCAACGAAATTTTGGCGTATATGATTGAAATTTCTGCCGACTGCTCTTATGACATGTCTACTATCTATCTAAACTACCTGCGGTAAAAATAAACTCAATTATCACACAAGGAGTTTTAAAAGTAGAAATGAATGACTAGCTAATATCAACATAACGCATCACATTAAAGAGTCAACCACACTCATCCTGCTTATTGTGAATGCGACCATACCAAAAGAGAGCATTCCATTAACAAACAAACTTGTAAAAATTGTACAGCACGGTTTAGTCTGCCTAAATGGGAAAATGTTATATATACATTCCAGTTTATGAGCTTCTTGATTAACCATATCCTTTGTGTGACTAGTGAGGGTGAATTGATTGATAAACTGTACATCTAGGATACTTATTTCTCTGGTCAGATCGAGCCTTTTGATAATGGATGGGGCTGACAAGTCCTGTCTACGGGATATTAATCTCACTGATGGTATATGGTTCTAGGTGGTATATGGTTTGATTTATCAGGCCTTGAACAACAAGGATATTATCATGTGCCTGTTCTTCCAATCTGTCTATCCGTTCCTCTCTCTCTCTCTCTCTCTCTCATCATCATCATCATCATCATCATCATCATCATCATCATTTCTCCATTCCAGATAAAAAGATGCGGTCTCACAGAATTCCGGACAAGTTTCTTGTGACGGCATTCCTTCTCCTCCTAACTTCTCTGGGATTTGCTGAAGGATACCAAGTCCTTGTGCTCGG